CTCCTCATGTAAATCTCCATTGAGGAAAGCATTGTTAACATCTAATTGTTCCAAATACCAGCCTTTAACAGCTGCAAGGGAAAGTAATACTCTGACAGTAGTAAGTTTCACAACAGGAGAGAAGGTATCAAAATAATCCACTCCTTCCATCTGAGTGAAATCCTTTGCTACCAGCCTGGCCTTATACCTTTCAATAGAGCCATCAGCCATGTGTTTTACTTTGTAAACCCACCTGCAACCTATAGGAACCTTACCAGGTGGAAGATCAACGACAGTCCAATTTTGGTTCTCTGCAAGAGCTTCTAACTCAACATTCATGGCATTAATCCAGCAATCATGTTTAACAGCTTGTTTATAAGTTCTAGGCTCAGATATGGCAGAGATAGAACAACAAAAGTGTTTAAAGGAGGGAGAGCATCTGTCATAGGATAATACAAATGAAAGAGGGTATAGGGTAGAATGTTGTTTAGAGGATTCAAGAGGTAGAGAGAGCTTTATTGAGGGTGTGTTAACAGTGATAATCTGTCAAATATACAGGAGGGTTGGTGAGTCTTGTGGAGTGTCTAAGTGGAGGGGGAGAATTATGTAAGACAGGGGAATCAATCTTAGAGGAAGATGAAGGAGAATGAGAAGATGGAAATTCACTAGATAAAGGTGAATTATCAAATGGTTGTCCAATGGATATAGCAGAGGGTTCAAGTACATAAGTGAGTAAAGGTGAACCATTATGGAGGGCAGGGATAGAGGTAGCAGTAGGACTAGCTGGCAAAATAGGGGAGACAGGGCTAGTAGCAGAGTTAAGGCTGTTGTTAGAAGGAAAACTGTCATGACTAGGAGTTTGGCTATGGTTAGGAGTAGGAATGGTATCATCCATAGGAAGGGATACATCAGTAGATATATGAGACTGCTGAATAATGGAATGATCATCATACAGGGGTGGAAATTGGGATGTGTATTTAGGAGTATGAGATGGCTGATGTGGTTTAAAGGGAAAGTTATGCTCATAGAAAATCACATTTCTAGACACAAAGATATTATGGTGAGTTAGGTCATAAAGGATGTAACCTTTGGTTCCATCCTTGAATCCAAGGAAGACAGATTTCCTGGCTTTAGAATCAAACTTGGTCCTATGAGATTGTAGAGTGGTAGCAAAACCTAGACATCCAAATACTTTCAAATGAACAATAGAAGGTGACTGTTGAAAAATAAGTTCATAGGGGCATTTGAGTTTCAGAATAGGAGTAGGAAGCCTATTGATGATGTGTATGGCATGATGTATGCAGAAATTCCATAGATTTAAGGGAATATTAGAGTGAAAGAACAAAGTCCTAGCCACATTTAGAATATGTTGATGTTTGTGTTCAACCACCCCATTTTGTTGAGGTGTTTCAACACAGGTTTTCTGGTGTGTTATGCCTTTAGATGCAAGATAATCAGACAATGCTACAAACTCAGTGCCATTATCAGACCTTAAGCATTTAAGTGAAGTATGAAAATGATTTTCTATATAGGCTATAAACTTGATAATGTTGTCTTTGGTTTGATATTTACTTTTGATAAAAATTGTCCAGGTGTATCTAGAATAATCATCAACAAGAGTCAAAAAGTACTTGTGACCTAATACAGATATAGTGGAAAAAGAGCCCCAAACATCAGCATGCAGAATTTCAAAAGGAGCATTAATTTTGCTATAACTATGAGGATATGGCAGCCTCTTTTGTTTGCCAAAATGGCAGGAATCACAGGGTATATCATTGTTACATCTTGAAGATACAAAAGGAAAAACTGTTGAAATGTGTTGTAATCCTAAATCAGAAACATGGCCTAATCTCAGATGCCAAAGATCACAAGGATTTTGAGCAAAAGAATGAAAAGCACGATGTTGAGTGGAGGATTCAAGGACATAAAGCCCTCTTTGAAGCTTAGCTATACCAATCATTGCCCTCGAATGATTCTGCACAATTTTGCAAGAATTATCAGTAAAGTGAACAGAACAATTATTATTGTGGACAAGTTTGGCAATTGAAATCAGGTTAACATGGAAGCTTGGTATGTACAAAACATTATGTAAAACTAAGGCAGATGAGATGGTAATACTACCAGAAATTGAAGCAGTCACCTGTGATCCATCTGGTAAACTAAACATGAATGGGAATTATGGACTTGTAATATGTAAAGGCTGTAAGATCAAAGGCAATATGGTCGGTAGCACCAGTATCAAGAATCCAGAGATAGACATTATTACCTTGTTCATTGTGAAAATGAGAATTTAGGGCAAAAGGTGATGTGGAGATGGAGTTGGCTTGAGAGGTGAGTGTAGACTACTGAAGTAATGCCAGAATGTTGTTATATTGTTCTTGAGTAAAACCAAAAGAGGACTTGGATGAATTCTGCTGGGAAGATTCTGAAGCTGTATCGGCAGGCGCATCAGTTTGAGCAACAGAGTTGGTGGATTTACCTTTGCTTTTGAATCCAGGTGGGTATCCATGCTTAATAAAGCATGTCTCAATCGTGTGATTATTCCTGCCACAGTGTGTACACACTCGGCTGTGGCCTTTAGCTCCACCATAACTTTGTGACTTTCCTTTTCCATAGTTGTTACCTGATCTGTTATTACCATTGCCATTGGAAGAATGAAAATGAAATGCTGCAGATTCTTCAGAATTGTTGTCAACTGTAGAACTAGAGTTATTCAATTCTCTTTCTTGTTGAATAACCAGTGAAAAGACTTTATCAATTTCAGGTAACGGGTTCATCGTCATGATTTGAGACTTAGAATGAGCAAATTTTTCATTCAAACCCTTAAGGAAACGAATTACATAATCTTGTTCACGATATTGACGAATAGATGCAAGAGCACCACATGAACATGGAACAGTACAACAACAAGCAGTAATGGGATGATAAGTCTCAAGTTCATCCCGCATCACTTTCATCTGTGTAAAATAATTTGAAACATCAAGAGTACCTTGGCGGAATTTATACAGATCTTCTTGAATGTCAGAGATTCTGAATATATCACCATGAGAGAAGCGAATTTGCAGATTCTTCCACACGCCAGATGCAGTATCAATCCATAGAACGGATTTAGCAATAGAATCTGAAATAGATCGGTGAATCCATGCTAAGACCATTGTATTGCAGCGTATCCATGGAGCATAAAATGGATCAGAAACAGAAGGTTTCTTGATGGTGCCATCTATGAAACGTTCTTTGTTCTTGGAAATCAATGCGATATGCATTGATCTTGCCCAGGTATGATAATTCTTGTCATAAAGTAAGGGTGAAACTAGAACAAGAGATGGATTTTCGCTCGGATGAAGATAAAAAGGATTCGAAGAATTTGTGGAAAAATCGTTGTGGCTCTGGTATGCCATCAGAAGAGAAAGGCGAAGAAAAGGATTGTGAAAAAAAACAGAAACAGAGACGCAAACGGCCAAGAAGAAAGGAAGAAAGGTTCACAATCAAGAGAAGATCGCAACAATGGATACCAGAGCAGTTCTTGCTCTGATACCATGTAAAAGGTGATAAGCTCACCTTGGTGAGATGCTGGAAGAAGGAAGAAGAATGCAAGAAGCAGTTGGAAAATGTAACAGAAATCAGTTACTATGTTGCACCAGAACTTGCTCATTTTATTGATTGATGAATATATGGTACAGTAAGCAATATATATACAAAGGATAAAGGATAGAAAATGAATGGATATCAAAGGATGTAAAAACAGTATACGTGGTATCCCCTAATAGGCTAAAAACCATAGAATATACGAGAACTAATTCTATCTATATAAACTAGGATATTAACACCAAACGGTAAACAACAGTCAAGAAAAACAACGACAAAAATATATCAGCGTCATTCATTGAAACTAACCTTCACCGCCGAAACTAGAGTACGCCTACCCTTACGAGTTTTTGAAACTAAACCCAACAACTAGACCCAATAAAGACACCGCCATGGTCGAGCTGAGGGACATACCCAACAGGTTTTTAAAGATCCGAGCAACACCAAACTGAACAACCACTTCCAGATGAGCGACGTCGAAGATCTCCCAGTTGAAAACCAAAGTGATGGTGTTGACAATTCAACGAAGCGTCAGACCAAACCAACCACCTCATTTATAAAAACATATCTAAACAAGCTTCAGATCCGTGAGAAAAAGTCACAGCGCCAACTTCAACACCAACGACTTTGTTACCCTGATTGGGGTTAGAGGTGGTACGACCTTGAAGAGCTACGCACCACCATCTTCTAACAAAAACAAGTTTAAATTTAGGGATGAGAGTGGTGGCGAACGGTTGAGGTCAAGAGAGAAAAGAGAACATTTTGAAAATAGAACAACAACATATAACGAGAGACCGCTTATCACTTGCAAATTAAAATTAAATAATCAAAACATAAAATAAATTATATTACAAATATTATTAAATTAGTAGAATATATATATATATATATATATATATATATATATATATATATATATATATATATATATATATATATATATATATATATATATATATATATATATATATATATATATATATATATATATATATATATATATATATATATATATATATATATATATATATATATATATATATATATATATTGTTATTATTATATTTTTTTTTGGTAAGCTTATATAATAATATTATTAAAAGAGAGAAACGAAAAAAAAGAGTTAATGGTACTGGTGTGTGGTGATTGAAACCTAATTGCGCGGTGCTACTTAATCCTACCGCCGTGGACCATCGCGGCAACATCTGTTTATCTCCATTGTTGAACTCTCATCTTAAGGTGTGCATTTTTTGCTTCTTTGTATTTTTAATATTATTACAATCAATTTTACTTATTTGTGATTTCAATTGAATATGATTTTGTTTTATTAGAAACAATATGAATTTCTGAAACAAATTGGAGGGTTTAATGAAATGTTTTATAACTGTAATGATGTTGTTTATTCTCTTCTCATTGAAGAGTGACACAGACAGAATATGAATACTCTGATCAAACAAAGCAAAACAACTAAAAACCAAGATGGAGATGATCCATGTATTGTGTTAGGAAGTAATGTAGTAGATCAACATTTGGTCAATAACAATATAAGTGAAGATGTCGAGCACTGCAAGAAGAAAAAGAAGAAGAAACGGAGTGAAGTAAGCAAACATAACGAGTTCAAAAGCGCTCGATGTGAAGATGGTGATGACGGAAAGAAAATGAAAAAGAAGCCGAGACTAATTCAAGGAAACATGTTTAACGAGTGTAATGATTGTAGAAGCAATGAAGGTGAAGATGGAGAGCAGGGCAAGAAGTTAAAGAAAAAGGAGAAGAAATTGAGTGAAGAAAGCAAACATAAGGATTGTAATGAGGTCAAAAGCAATGAAGACGGAGACAGTGATCAAGGAAAGACAACGAAGAAGAATCAACTTACCAACAAGAAAAGTAAACCAAAACGGGTAACTTTTTCTGAGCAAGTGGAGGAGTTTTGTTGTGATGGCTTAGTGCGTGGGAAAAGGTATACACCAGAAGAAGATGAGAAGATCAGAGCATCTGTTCATGACTTTATAAAATTTCATGGTTTGGGAGATGAAGGGGTAGATATGATTCTTCATTCCCAGAAACACTCTTCAATTAGAGGCTGTTGGAAAGTTATTGCAGAAGTCCTACCTGAGAGGCCTATGGAGAGTGTGATTCGTCATGCTCGGAAGTTGTTTGAAACCAATGAGAGGTTTAAGTGGACACCTTATGAGATTGACTTTATACGGAAAGCGCACGAGCAAAACGGACCTAATTGGAGGGCAGTAGCTGACACTTTGGGTAAAAGTCGATATCAAATAGCAGATGCTTGGCACAAGTTAAAATTTACAAAAAGAAAGAAAGGACAGTGGTCCCAAGAGGAATATCAAACTTTATTTAATTTAGTAAACATTGATCTGCGCATGCGGGCTTTAGAGCCTTATAGAAAATCTAAACATGGTATGTTGCGAGATAATATTTGTTGGGAGGCAATTGGTCACAAGTTAGAAACCCGAAACAGCGCAGTTTGCTGCAGTAAGTGGTATAACCAGTTAACATCGACAATGGTTGCTAGTGGTGATTGGTGCGATAGCGATGACTTCCGCTTGGTAGATGCTTTGTATGCTTTGGATGCTTGCAGCATGGAGGAGGTAGACTGGGATGAACTACTTGATCATAGGTCTGGTGATGTATGCAGAAAACGATGGGATCAAATGGTCCAACATATTGGGGATCGTGTAGGGAAGTCATTTATTGAGCAGGTTGAAATTCTTGCGAAGAGATTCTGCCCAGACTTATTGGAAGCAAGAGAGACTTTTGACAACAAACCTGTAATTTGTTGAGGTTTCTAACCTTTAACGTGGTTTACCTTAGGGATGATTTTGTTATACCAGAATGTATTATACTACAACGAGTAAGGTGTTTTTTTGGTGGGATCGCCGATGCTTTTCTGCTGTATTTCAGAAAACAGAGTTTGTATTGGTTGGAATTTGAGGGTGATAGTTGTGCTTTCTTGTAATGAAGTTTTTACTTTGTTCTTGTGTTCCTATTTAATACAAGTAAAACTTTACTTCTATGTCTTTATTTTGATTAACATAATAGTTTGACAGGCCCGACCCTGAGGCAGGGCAAAGTGGGCCACTGCCCAGGGCCTCCAAAATACAGGGGCCTAAAAAAATTTTATTCGTATTTTAAATACTAGAAGGGAGGCTTTTTTTAAGTAGTTAGAAAGTATTTTGATAATATTGATTAGAATATGACCTCGTTTTTATGTTAGTTGCACTGATAAATAACTATATTTGATGTTGTTGATGCTATTTACAAATAAATAATGTTCTTTAAAAAAACAATTGTATTTTTTATTAGGGGTCCATTTTTATTATTCGCACCGGGCCTCTAAAAAACCGGCCCCCTATATTAGCAATTGCCACTGGTTTTGTTTATGGTCTGTTAGTCCTCCTACTAAATTACTAATTCCATCGTGAGCTTCATTTGGTGAGACATAAAATCTCTTTTGAGGCCAAGTTATTTGCCTCAAAATCGATATGTTGTTGGCCATAATTGAATTCATTTTTATGAGAATGACGGAAGTTACTATATGATAGAAGTTGGGTATGTTCTATGCTATTTGAATGTTTTGGCTAAACAAGCATAAGGAAAAATTCATTGGCTTGTATTTATTGTAAATATGCTCTGAAACTAGCGTCAGAGTAGAAGAATGAGCCAAGAATGAGTCGCAGCTCTTTAAATGGTGCCGCTTTCAGAATTTAGTCGCTTCCATTTACAACTATTTTAATGGATGCAAAGCTAAAATATTGGCCCAAGTTATTATGTTGGGGATAATTTTGGTATAACACCGACTATAGTAGTCTAATAAGCTCAATCCTCTCAAAGCTTTGAATGGGAAAGATCTTCCACTTTTGCTTAAAGGAACTGCTACGCTCTCTGTTGTATAGGAAGTAAATCGAATGATGGTTGTGTGAAATGCATTATTATTGGAGAAACTGCAACCTAATCTCCTTAGAGTCCATGGTTGAGCAAGGGCCTAGGCTGGTATTGCAAGTAAGTACACTTTAAAATTGATGTCTGTGTTATTCTTAAGTTACAACCTTATGTTTCGAGACTTTAAATCACACTTCAATATATTCCAATTCTCATAAAAATTGTACCACATAACTGACACGTGTGGTATTAAATTGTTCCACTTAAGTGACATGCATGGTAGTTGTAGTTCATTGCCACTTCATAATATTTCTTATTATAATATGGTTATATAGTTTGGTTGATGATCGTTGAATGGTTTATGTCTTTGTTGTTTGATTTCAGATGATTTCTGATAACAGAGAAATCAGAAAGTCTTGTGTTGTCCATTCCTCTCATGGAGAAGAGAACCCATGTCACATTTCAGGCAACCCGCACATGATAACTTTTGGCGTGGCACAACTTTTCTTTTCTCAGATTCCAGATTTTCATAACACGTGGTGGCTCTCAATAGTTGCAGCAGTCATGTTTTTCTCTATTCTATAACTGGTCTTACTCTTGGAATTTCCAAGAGGGTGAGTATACAAGTGTGAATGAAGCATTGTTCAAACTAATTAGTTTTTAATCTGAATACACAGGACACCATCAAATCTCCACCGATTCTGAAGGAAAAGCAATGAAGAAGGCTGCAAAGCTAAGTATTGAAGTAACCACAACATTTTATATGCTCTGTGGGGCTGCATGGGCTTATGCGGCTTTTGGAGACGCTTCACCAGATAACCCGCTCACTGGATTTGGTGTCTCGAAAGCACATGTTGTTGTAGATATGGCTAATGCTGCATTTGCAGTTCACATTTTCGGTGCACACCAAGTGTATGCCCAACCCCTTTGCCTTCCTCAAGAAAAAGGCAGGAAAAAAATGGCCGAAAATTGACAGGATTCAAAGTTAAAAATGTTAGTTTGGCGGCCAATTAATGAATATATCGATTTTTAACTATTGAATTAGGATTTATAGACAATATAACAGAAATTTTCTTTTAAAAACAAATCAAGTTTTGAATATAAGTAAAGTGTATGTATTGATGCAAATCTGAACTAGGTTCATTTTATTTTTTATTATATTTAGTACTACAAGATTAGTAATCCATTTAAGTAATTGATATTGTCAACTGAAATAGTGATATGGAGAATTGAATTCAGTCAAGTGGATTGATTCTTCTACTTTCACAATCTCCTCCACTAAATTTTTATCGGTCCATTTTTCATATTCTAAATTCTCTCTATTTTTTTTTCCAATGGTTTAGATTTGAGAGAAGGATAATTTTAGTTCAGTCCATTCATTCACACGTAGTGTCTTAAGCACGCCGAATTTGACCTAATGATAAGGCAGATGTTAGTTAGCTATAAATGAAGATTACTATACAAATTATTGGATTTGTGGAGAGCCGAAGAACAGAGAAGCTGCTTCTGGATTTTAAAGTGAGTAAACTTGCACGCAACTATTCTCTAATCTCTACTATCTTCATCTCTTTTTTTATTCATTAAAACAAATTTTTGTTCAGTAAAATAATATCATTTTAGCTTAGTCTGTTTCACTTGGATTTGTTAGAAATATAATTCTTGTTTTGTCGAAATGTATGTGTGGTGTATGTCAAATAACTTTTGTATAGATTATAAGTTGTATTTGACAGAGTCGAATACAACATATATTGTAGTCTATCGAAATCATATTTTGAGCTTTAGCATGTTTTGTCTAATTGAGTCTGGACATGTTTGCCTATATAAAGTGTTGCTCAGTTCGTAATCTATAAGCAATCAAGAATAACAAACACTCAATTGTCTCTCTCTCTCTCTCTCTTCTCTTTTTCTTCTTCTTCTTCTTCTTCTTCTCCTTCTCTTCCATAAATCATCTTTTTTGAAAATCCTTTGTTCCAACAAATGAATATCAGAGCTCAGTTGTGATTCAGAGAGAATCTAATGGCAAACAGAACAACAACATCAACGTAATTTCCAGTGAATCTACCGGTTTTCAAAGGTGAAAACTATCAACAGTGGGTTGCGCAAATGAAGGTTATTTTCAGATTTCAAGATGTTGAAATCTTGAATAACGAAGTATCAGAACTAGAAGCAAATGTAACAGAAGTCCAGAAAATTGTGCACAAAGATCAGAGGAAGAAAGATAGTAAAACATTGTTCTTGATTCACCAGTGTGTGGATTTTGATGTATTTGAGAAAATAATTGAAGAAGAAACAACAAAAAGAGTTTGGGAAAAGCTAAAAAACTTGTATGGTGGAGATGAGAAATTGAAGAAGGTGAAGTTGCAGACGCTAAGGAAGCAATACGAAATGCTTCAGATGAAAGAAGATTTTTCAATTTCTGCATATTTCTCAAGAATTATGATGCTAACAAACCAAATGAAGGCATGTGGTGAATCAGTTACGGATCTGCAGAAGATAGAAAAGGTGTTGAGATCTTTAATTGTAGATTTTGACTATATTGTTGTAACAATTGAAGAGACCAAGACTCTATCTGAGATGAAGTTGGAAGAACTTCAAGCTTCATTGGAGGCTCGTGAAATAAGGTTGAAGCAGAGAAACTCAGAAAGAGAGAAGGTGACTGAACAGACATTGCAATCAAGATTCAGCAAGAAAGTTGGAAAAGAGAAGTCGAGCAGCAAAAGATTCTTGCTAGTGATGAGAAGTCAACCAAGAATACTGATTCGATCAAGAAAGGTGTGGGCAACAAGTATTATGGGAAGAAAGTTGACACGAAAGAGGTGCAATGTTATAATTGTCAAGGTTTTGGTCACTATGCTAGAGACTGTCGAAGAAAGAAAGTTGTGAGGGTGAAAGATAATGATGAAGTTCAATATGCACGAGCTGGAGATAGTGATTTCTATGACGTGTTGTTGATGGTGAACACTCAGTCGAACATTGAGAAAAACAACATGCGGTATATGTATTCAAGATACAACAATCACATGACTGGCAATAAAAACTGGTTTACCAACTTAGATGAGAGTCGAAAAGGTGATAAAGTTTGCAGATGGAAAGCACATCAAATCAGGTGGTAAAGGAGATATTTCGATTGTCAGAAAGGATGGTCGAAAAGCTACTATCACTGAAGTATTATATGTACCTTTTATGACAAGTAACTTGATAAGTGTAGATCAATTACTTGCAAAAGGCTTCAATATGAAGCTGGAGAAAAATCAGATGAAGGTATATAAGGTTGATGGGAGGCTAATAATGAAAGCACCAATGACAGAGAACAAAACATTCAAAGTTGAATTCAACACATTAGATCACAAATGTCTTGCTTCAACTACAGAAGAAGATAAAAACTGACTATGGCATCACAAGTATGAACATCTAAACTTCAAAAGTTTATGCATGCTCAATCAGAAAAGGATGGTGTTTGGGTTGTCGTATGTAAAGGAATCAAAGCAGGTATGCGAGGAATGCTGCAAAGCAAAACAGGTTAGGAAGGCATTCAAACATGACTTGCCAGTGAAATTAAAGCAAAAACTAGAGCTAGTTTATTCTGATGTGTGTGGACCATTTGAAGTAAAGTCAAATGGAGGTAACAGGTTTTTCTGTACCTTCATTGATGAATTCACCAGACACGTGTGGATTTACCTTATTGAAAGAAAGAGTGAGGTATTCACACAGTTCAAGAAGTTCAAGTTGTATGCTGAGAAACAAAATGGTTGTAAATTGAAGAAGTTAAGAACTGATGGTGGTGGTGAATATATTTCTGCTGAATTTGCAAGATTTTGTAATGAGGAAGGTATAGATCATGAGGCTATTACACCCTATACGCCTCAGCATAATGACATAGTTGAGAGAAAGAATAGAAGTATACTGAATATGACGAGAAGTATGTTGAAAGCTAAAGATATGCCTGAGATTTTGGGTTGAAGCAGCTTCGACAGCAGTATATATCCTAAATAGATGCCCAACGAAGAAGATGGTCGAAAAGACACCACATGAGTCTTGGACAGGGTCGAAGCCAAATGTGAGTCATCTTAGACTTTTTGGATGAATGTGCTTCAGGCATGTACCTGAATAATTGAGAAATAAGCTGGATGATCGAAGTGAAGTCATGGTGCTCATAGGTTATCATTCGACTGGTGCATACAAGTTGTATTCGCCAAACGAAGATAAACCAATGATCAATCGAGATGTTCTTGTAGACGAAAGCAAAGGGTGAGACTGAAGTCAAAGTTCAGTTCGACAAGAATCAGACACAATCACAACTGTATTCGATGAAGATGAACAGAACGAAGCTTCAACGAGTCGAAATGAACAAGGTGGTACTTCAACCAGTCAAAATGAAGAACCACCTGTGCAGAATGAAAGAAGGTCGATAAGAACAAGAACTGAGTCGACCAAACTAACTGGATATGAAAGGTTTTTAGATCAAACAATTGATGCAGATGGTGACTTAATCGAAGAAGCCATGATGATGGTTGAAGGAGAACCAATTGATTTGGGCGAAGCCATGAGCAATTCGAATTGGTGTGAAGCCATGAAAGAAGAACTCAGAGCTATTGAGAAGAACAAGACCTGGGAGCTTGTCGAAAGAACCAATAAGAAACCAATCGATGTAAAGTGGATTTACAAGGTGAAACGAAGGCCAAATGGTGAGATTGCGAAGTATAAAGCAAGATTGGTGGCCAGAGGTTTTCTACAAAAACATGGTACTGACTTCGACGAAGTATATGCGCCTGTTGCGAGGTTAGAAACAATCAGAATTGTTGTTTCGAAAATAACATATAGAGGATGGAAGATGCATCAATTAGATGTAAAATCAGCATTTTTTTAATGGTCCATTGGAAGAAGAAGTCTACATTACTCAACCACCAGGATTCGATGTCAAAGGACAGAGTCGAAAGTATATAGATTAAGGAAGACTCTCTATGATTTGAAGCAAGCTCCTAGAGCTTGGAATAAGAGGATAGATAGCTTTTGATCGAAGCAGATTTCACAAAGTGTGTCTCTGAACATAGAGTGTGTGTAAATAATATCAACAGTGTCAATCAAATCATTTTATGTTTCTATGTTGATGACTTACTCATTACATGAGCAGACAAAGCTGAGATAATGAAGGTAAAGTCGAAATTAATGTAGGAATTTAAAATGTCTTACTTAGGGAATCTCTCATATTTCCTAGGGATAGAATTCAAAGATACCAAAGAAGGAGTATTCTTGCATCAAACGAAGTATGCTCAAGATATTTTGAAGAGGTTTAAAATGAGCAACTGTAATGAAGCTGTCACTCCGTTAGAAACTGGATCAAAGTTGAAAAAGGAAACGAATGATGAGTTTGTAAGTTTGACCCTTTACAAATAAATCATTGGATCCTTGAGATATCTTTGCAATACTAGACCGGATATCTGTCAAAGTGTAGGATTGTTGAGTAGATTTATGGAGAAACCACAAGAATGTCATCTCATCGCAGTAAAGAGGGTGTTGAGATACATAAAGGGAACTATTGATCATGGTGTGTTGTTACCAAAGAAGTTGAAGAACAGCACAAATGTAGAAGTTTATGGATACACTGACTCAGATTTCAGTGGAGATCAAGATGAAAAGAAAATTACTGCAAACTACATTTTCATGATCGAAGATGCTCCAATCTATTGGAGTTCGAAGAAGCAAAACATTGTTGCTTTGTCATCATGCGGAGCAGAATATGTGGCTGCATCATATGCTGCATGCCAAGCAGCATGGATCGAAATACTACTTGAAGAACTCAGGATAATGGAACCTAAGAAGATGAAGTTTTTTGTCGACAATAAGTCAGCTATTAACCTGGCGAATCACCCAGTGTCATGGTCGAAGTAAGCGCATAAAAAGAAGGTATCATTTTCTGAGGGATCAAGTCAACAAAGGGAAGCTTGAGATAAAGCATTGTAAGACAGAAGTGCAACTAGCCGACATATTTACCAAACCTCTGAAGAAAGTCAGATTCAACGAGTTAAAGAAAAGCATCGAGATGAGAAGTCTCGAGAACATGAATTAGGGGGTGTGTTAGAAGTATAATTCTTGTACTGTCAAAATACATGTGTGGTGTATGTCGAATAACTTTTGTATAGGTTATAAGCTGTATTCGACAGAGTCGAATACATCAGATATTGTAGTATGTCGAAATTATATTTTGGACTTTAGCATATTTTGTCTAATTGAGCCTGGACATTGTTTGCCTATATAAAGGGCTGCTAAGTTTGTAATCTATAAGCAATCAAGAATAACAAACACTCAATTATCTCTTCTCTCTTCTTCTTCTCCTTCTCTTTCATAAATCATCTTTCTTGAATCTTTGTTCCAACGAGATTCAATACGAATCAATCTGAATACTATTACCTAACAATATACATGTGCGGCTGAAAACATAAATTGATTTTGAATTTTTTATTACCCAGAATAAAAAATCTGTAATGAGTCAAAACAAAATTTTCCATTTCTATTTCATAAAAATCAAATAAATATTAAAATTGTTATTTTTAGTACTAGTAATTTTATGAAATATGTTTCATCTATTTTAATATTATTGTTTAAACAATAATATTTTTTCGCTATTTTTTAATTTTCATAAAATTAATAACAAATATTTTTAAAAATATGTCAATGTAATATAACTAATTTATTGCCATCATCGATTTGCATGATTTGCATTACAAAATTCTTTAAACATTCAACGTCCATAATTTATTGAGGGTAGATGGATAACATATTTCAATTAAATTCTATTTTTAATTAGTATAAAATAAAAAAAATAAAACTCCTATTAATTACCGGTCCCGTCTAAATAAGTAAATAAATATTGTGATCAATATGACAGCGCATACGCCATAATTTTAAAAACCTTGCTCTGTTGTCAGATGTGTGAAAATGCAATCCAATTGACGGTACAAACAAAATAACAGTAAGGTCATTATCACTACCGAATACTCTTTCTCTCAATTATTGTATTTTCCTTTGTCTCTATCTCATAAACCTCGTTTGGAATTAAACACCCTGTAGAAGAATTTGATGACAATGGAGGAGAAGGAAGAACACTCTACAGAAGCTGCAGTTACTTCACACAATGACTCCAAATTGTTCGACGATGACGACCGTGTTAAACGAACAGGTACTCTAGTCCAAATTAATTAATTTGCACATAGTATATTTTATTTATTATTTTGATGAATGTATAAAAATGTGACAGGAACGGTTTGGACAACAAGTTCGCATATAATAACAGCAGTAGTAGGATCAGGAGTGTTGTCGTTGGCATGGGCGATAGCTCAATTGGGTTGGATAATTGGTTTATCAGTCATGGTTTTCTTCAGTCTCATCACTTGGTATACTTCATCACTCCTATCCGAATGTTATCGAACAGGAGATCCTCATTTCGGGAAAAGAAACTATACTTTCATGGAAGCTGTTCACACCATTCTCGGTAACATTATAACTTTAGAATCAAATCATTGTCTTACTGTATTGTAGGACATAATGTAACATCTAAAAGAAAAATCATTTTGCAGGGGGTTTCTATGACACCCTTTGTGGGATAGTTCAGTACAGCAATCTTTATGGAACTGCAGTAGGATACACAATTGGTGCTTCCATTAGTATGATGTAAGTGATAAAACTTAACCCATCTTTTATATTTTAATATTTAAAAATTTATTTTACTTTTAGATTTAGATTTAGAAATTCACTAAATAAGAAATAATGTATTTTTAGATAAGCATGATATTGGTTTTACATGTACAGAAATCTGATTTGGATAGACTTCAATCTTTTGGACTATATATGGCATATGCATTTTTTTTTATGTAAAACTTTTAAATTAGAATAATTAATTTAAGTCATTAAAAAGTAATTAATGATGATTTACAATTTTTGTTTAGCTAGTCATTAAAAAATTAAAAAATAATTAATGATGGTTTAAAATTTTTCTTTAGATGCATTTATTTATTGATTTCTGTATTTAATAAAATGATTACATCCGTTATCACAATATTTATTTAGGGACTGACAGCGGTCCAAGGCTACTTAAGTAAATCAATAAATAAAATAATTAATATAAAGAAAAAATGCAGTATATGAAAATTTCTACAAGTATTGAGCTTAATATCTAGTTTGATTATGGCTAATGTGTTTGTTTTAATTGAATTGGTTTTGGCTAGACAGGGCAATAAAAAGATCTAACTGTTTCCATTCCTCGGGAGGAAAAGATGGATGTCGCATTTCAAGCAATCCATACATGATCAGTTTTGGAGTAATCCAAATTTTCTTTTCTCAAATTCCAGATTTTCATGAAATGTGGTGGCTCTCAATTGTTGCAGCAATCATGTCTTTCACCTATTCATTAATTGGCCTTGGTCTCGCAATTGCCAAAGTTGCAGGTTATATGTATATAGTAGTATTAGTATTTCATTTCATGACACTATTTCTTAGCAGAAAAAAAAAAATCCTTAAACCGATTTTGTTTTGAAACAGAAAATGGTTCCTTCAAAGGTAGTATCACAGGAGTAAGCATTGGAACTGTGACAGAAGCCCAAAAAGTATGGGGAGTTTTCCAATCTCTTGGCAACATAGCTTTCGCGTATTCATATTCACAAATTCTCATTGAAATTCAGGTACTATAGTTATCGCGATTTTCGAGTATTTCTATGGTCTAACTAATTTACTAATTTGCATATAATGAATCTAATTTCGTAGGATACCATAAAAAGTCCACCTTCCGAGATGAAAACAATGAAGCAAGCCACAAAGATAAGTATAGGCGTGACAACGATATTTTACATGCTTTGCGGCGGTATGGGCTATGCTGCATTTGGAGACTTGTCACCAGGAAACTTACTCACTGGATTTGGTTTCTATAATCCATATTGGCTCATTGATATTGCTAACGCCGCTCTCATAATTCATCTTGTGGGAGCATACCAAGTTTACGCGCAACCCTTATTTGCTTTCGTCGAGAAAATAATGATAAAAAGATGGCCTAAAATAAAAAAGGAATACAAACTTACAATTCCTGGTTTTCGTCCTTACCATCTAAATCTATTTAGATTAATTTGGAGGACTATATTTGTGATCACAACAACATTTATATCAATGTTGATTCCTTTCTTCAATGATGTTTTGGGATTAATTGGAGCAGCTGGATTTTGGCCTTTAACAGTTTATTTTCCAGTGGAGATGTATATCAAACAGAAGAAGATCACAAAATGGAGTTATAAATGGATTAGTATGCAAACTTTAAGTGTTATATGTTTTGTAGTATCAGTTGTGGCTTTTGTTGGATCAGTGTCAAGTATTGTGGTTGATCTTAAGAAATACAAACCATTCACAACTGATTATTGAAATCCACTCAACTTTTATTGTATTCATAAGGGTGTAGAAAGCAACTTTGGGTAGTGATTTATGTGGTTTTTGTATCATTATCTATTAATAACAACAGTGCTAGTTAAACATTCTCCTTTTTCAGCTCTTCCTTCCACTCAACTGGTTTATGCCTTATCTGCAGTCAGTCAAGAACTTTAGTCCATTCCTCACACTGTTTCGTACAGCCAAAGAACAAATGTTGGTTTGTCTCTGGATGATCACACATGTTGCACTTCATATCATTCACCATCTGTTGGCTCCTAAATTCGACACCTTTGTTTGATTGATGGCAGCCATTAAAAGCTGAAAGATGCTTTCGACTGGCTAAGCCTGTCGAAGTGCCCGTCGAAAGATGGTAAAAAACTTAGAAGATTTCTTCCAAGAAAGAAGGCTGATTGCCTTCGACGTCGAAGGAGTTTTCGTCGAAGACGTCTCTTGGTGAAGGTGTTCGATGGTCCAGAGTGGAGCAGTTTGAAATTCAAAGCTTTGGAGGGAAAACGGTTTCCAGCAGTTACTACGTGCAAACGTGCAAGGATCTGGAGCGTCGAGCATGGAGAACGTGCCAAGTGGCTTAATCTCGAAGCAGTGTAACTGCCCGACGGTTACTTGGATTGTTTTTGTATAAATAGGAGTAGACGTGTAGTTTCTCGCGTGTGTTCACAATAGATACATAGTCACTCATTTAGATTCAAGTACCCAGTGTGAGCGAACGAATTGTTGAGAAATGTATGTGTGAAACACCAATTTTATCAATTAAAGTCATTTACTTTTCCAGTATTTTACATGCTTTTCCCCTTTAAATTCCTGTCGAACCTTTACATTCAAGCCTTGTTTATTTTACCAAGCCTTTCCTTTATGCAATTTACTTTAAACAATTTACTTAAAGCCTTATCCAACTTAATTAAACTTCAAAATCAACCTATGTCCATAGGATCAATCTGATCGATCCTGCGAGTAACCAAATAAGTAACCATTTGGAGGATCAGCGGTTGTTTACCAAAACCCGAGGTAAACAAATTGGCACACCCGGTGGGACTGTGTGTTGATTGTTGAAAAATACTCTCATCTTTTCGAGTTGCATGTTATTGAGGAGTGGTAGAATATACACCAACGATAACAATACTGCCAGAGGAAGGGAAGAGATGGCGAATCCGCCAAACAACAATGAAATTCCACAAACGAGTGTGGGAGCAACGGTTAATATGACCGTGAGTGAAGCGACGAATGTTGGTTCGACACCAGCAGTGTCAGTCACAACCACGGGGCCAATAACTTCGTTTACAGGCCCCAGAATACCTTTGGGAACCCCCCCACCAAGGGGAAATATAGGCACAAGGCCTGTGGTTCCCCCAGGATTCATTCCATTCTATGGCATGCCAACTTCTGAAGTGGCAAGCCTGACGAATGCTGCGTCCACTTATTCAGACCCTTTCGTGAGTGCTTCTTCGCCACTCCAAGGCTCTGGAGTAGGCATGGCGAATAGAAATAGGACCCAACTCTTAGGAGGAACGTCCCAAGTAGCCCATGGCCTTACAAATGCCTCGACAGCAGTCTTGAGGCAACAGATGGACGAAAGCAACCATGACATGGTGCAAATGTTGGCACAAACTTTGAGCACAGTGCTAAATCCTCTAATACAAAATACTACTCAATCGAATCAGCAAGTTACAGCGCAAATGACGCGTTTGGCTGACTTCTTTGGAGCACCCCCACCTATTCGACAGCCCCAAAGGGCGCAAATAAGAGGAAATCAGGGGATATTTGTAGAGGAAGAAACCACCATTAATCAGGCTCAACAGCCTGTAGAACAACCTGTCGAAGAACCTAGGGTAATAGCCCCAGAGGTAAGGTTAGTCAACAGAAACCAAAATGCTGACGAAGTGGTTCAGCATGTCCAATACCAAAACATGGGTTTGGAAAACAACCTGGCAACCATGATCGAAAGAATCATGAATCAGAATGGGATGAACATGGGCTTTCGAAGGCCCAACTTCACATCTCCATTGTCAGAATATGTGTTACAAACTGACTTACCCCCTAGGAGCAAAGTCCCCAAATTTACTAAGTTCTCTGGGGACACGACAGAATCTACTGTCGAACACGTGGCGAGGTATTTGATCGAAGCAGGAGACATCTCAAATAATGAAAACCTAAGGATCAAATACTTCCCAAGTTCCTTAACCAAGAACGCTTTTACTTGGTTCACAACTCTACCCCCCAATTCGATCCACCATTGGACCCAATTGGAAAGATTGTTCCATGAACAATTCTATATGGGGCAAACCAAGATAAGCCTGAAAGAACTGGCGAGTGTTAAGAGACGTTTCACTGAACCTATAGACGAATATCTGAATAGGTTTAGGTTGCTTAAGGCGAGATGTTTTACACAAGTGCCAGAACATGAGCTGGTCGAAATGGCCGCAGGTGGTTTAGATTATTCCATTAGGAAGAAGCTAGATACCCAGTACCTAAGAGACATGGCCCAACTGGCCGATAGAGTTCGACAAGTCGAACGCCTTAAAGCTGAAAAAGCTAAGGCAACAAAAACTCACAAAAGAGAGAGAATAGCGTACGTTGAGATGGATGATGAAGATCTAGAATCCTTCGACGATACTTTAGCTGTCGAAGAAGGAGAAGTCGATTTAGCAGAACTAAAACAGGGGCCACCATATTCTTGTAAACAGTTAGTCCCCTCAAATGGGAAAAATCCCATTGGTCCAGATAGGACCAACGATAGGTTCCCAAAGAAGACTTATAGTTTTGACATCACAAAATGTGATGAAATATTCGACTTGCTAGTTAAAGATGGCCAAATGATAGTACCCCCTGGGGTAAAAGTGCCTCCTCTTGATCAAAGAAAGAAGAGAGGTTTTTGCAAATATCATAATTTTTTGGACCATAAAACTTCTCAATGTTTTCTTTTCAGGAATCTTGTGCAAGACGCTATTGAGGAAGGGAGATTAAAGTTTGCTGACAAATCCCCCATGGCCGTCGACTCCAATCCACTGAAGGCTGAAGCCCACTATGCAGAACCCTCTGAGGTGAACATGATAGAGGCAACCAGGATCCAGTCGAAGAAGCCAGGCATCAACATGGTCGAAGTCTCAAAGGACCACATCAACATGCCAATCTTTGGCAGTTTTTCTGGAAACTTATCCAGGAAGACAATTGAAGCTGTCCAGAAAGCGGTCGAAGACCCAAAGTCGAAGACTGCTGAAGCACAAAAAACTGGACCGAAGCCCAGTTCCCATTTGGCCACTGTACAAGGCCAGACGGAGAATCTGGAGACACAAATGAAGCAACTAACTCTTGCTAATAAGGATACAATGAATATCAATATGGTTGAACTTTCTGACCCTAAAGCATCAGAAGAAGCCATAAGGCAAGAGCAGGCAAATAAAACGGCTTTCCCTAGGGAAAACGAAAACTTGGCAGATTTTTTACAAAGATGCCAGAAGAAGAAATCAGAGGTGATGCTATGTCCAAGATGTAGTTCTATCTTTGATAAAAAAGCTGCTGAGCACATACAAGGCGTGAGAGCAGCGAACAAGAGAAGGGAGAATGCTGACCTTCGACATGATCCCAGAAGGGGTTCTAACCAAGACAAGAGGCCATTGACTTTTAGGCCTCCAACAAATGTACCAGTAGACACTTGGTACAAAACATCTGGCCGAAAAAGGCCAAGTGAAGAGAAATGGCATTCCTTCGAAGTGCCAAGAGGTTCCTCTTTAATTCAGAAGAAAGAAACTCAAGTGGCTGCACCCAAGGTTGCTCAAGTGTCCAGCAACTACAAGGGAAAAAATCCTATGTCGAGATCCCAATGGAGGAGATATCAAAGAAGGCGAAAAGCTGAAAGAGAGGCTGCCAACGAACCTAAGGCTGAGACTAGTTCGAATGTGCCTCAAAGGAAACAAAGAAAGCCTCTTGAGAGAGAGCCTGTTACCAACAGGCTAGTCTGGCCTAACCAGAGCGAAGTCGAAGACGAAGATGATGCTAAGTCCGACGATACTCTGGATATAATGGTGAACATTGTTTCAGTACTGCCTAGGGAATTCAATCGACAAGTAGAAGTCGAAGCAAGTGACTGGGAGGTGGAACAAGAAATGGCCAAACATAGGCCAGTGTGCTATTTTGTCATGGACAATGGCACTACAGAGGAACAAAATGGCTTCTTCGAGCCACCTACTGAGGCGATGAAGAATCACCTCAAACCTTTGTTCATAAGGGCCAAGCTCGAGGAAACCACTGTGAACAAGATATTGGTCGACTGTGGGGCCACTATCAATATTATCCCTCATTCTGTGCTAATAAAGATTGGCAAAAGGGATGAAGAAATTAAACCTCACAATATGGTCCTATCCAACTATGAGGGAGGCATTGGGACCACCATGGGAGTGATCCAGCTCGACATAAAAGTTGGGTCGATCCTTCGACCAACAATGTTCATGGTCATCTCGGCCAAACCTAACTACAACCTTTTGTTAGGCCGTGAGTGGATTCATGGTGTAGGTGTCGTGCCTTCATCGATGCATCAAAGGCTGCTTCTATGGCGTCCAGATGGGATGGTCGAAAACATTGAGGCGGATCAAAGTTACTACCTTGGCGAAGTGAATCACTTGGGTGTAACAGATTTCGACAAAAACTTGGCTCACATAGGGCCATGTCCAACTCCTGACTTCGACATGGCGCCAGCGCCAAACACCTTTTGTTCCCTATACCTGCATCCTGAGCATGGTTTCCAATGGGACAAAGAAGACTTGTCCCACATAGACTTCAGTGGGCTAACTGATATCCAACCAACTGGTTGGGGAAGCGAATTCAGTGATAATGACTGAGTCACAATCTCTGAAGCGAATTTCGGCTTATGTGGCCGAAACCAAGATGATAACGGCTCTCGAAGCCGAAGTAAAGTACATGGCCACACAGGCCAATGATCAACAATTATCTGCTGTTGGCCCAGGAAAGGATTTCGATCCTAG